ATGACAAGAAACCAAAAGTAATCAATATAATCTGAAAACACACACACACAACACAACAAAGCTGGAGGGCTAATAGCTTCCCAATTTAAAAACTCACTACAAACTACAGTAATCAAGACAATGTGTTATTGGCACAAAGACAGACAGATCAATGGAATAGATTTGAGAGTCCAGAAATAAACCCATACATAAATAAAGCCAATTAATTTTTGACAAGACCATTCAATAGGAAGGGAACAACTTTTTCAATAAATGATGTGGGACAACTGGATATCCACATGTAAAAAAATGAATTTGGACTCTTACTTCATAGCATATACAAAACTTAAAAATAAAAGACCTATATGTAAGAGCTAAAAGTAAAACTTTTAAGTAGAAACTCAGGTGAAAATAGGCATGATCTTGGATTAGGCAGTGGTTTCTTAGATATGACACCCAAAGCACAAACAATCAAAGAAAAAATAAATATGTCTCCATGCCAGACTTCATGGGTTGAATGACACTAACAAGAAAGTGAAAAGACAACCCACAGAATGGGAGAAAATATTTACAAATCATATCTCTAATAAGGTTCTGGAATCCAAAATATATAAAGAACTGCCCATAACAACCTTAAGAAGACAACAATTCAAAAACGTACAAAGGATTTGAATAGACATTTCTTCGAAGAAGATATACAAATGGCCAATAAACTCATGAAAAGAAGCTCAGCACCATTAGTTATTAGGGAAATGCAAATCAAAGCCATAATGGAATATCACTTCACACCCACAAAGATAGCTATAACAATTTAAAAAGGAAAATAAGTCTTGGTGAGAATGTAGAGAAGTTGAAACTCTCACACATTGCTGGTTGGAATGTAAAATGGTACAGTTGATGTGGAAAATAGTTTGACAGTTCCTCGGAAGATTAAGAGAAAATATCTGAGGACATTGAAAACATATGTTCACACAATAACTTGCACATGAATGTCCCATAGCAGCCTTATTCACAACAGCCAAAAAAGTAGAAACAACCCAAATGTCCAACAAGTGGCGAATAAACAAAATATAGTAAATTCACATAATGGAATATTACCTCGTCATTAAAAAGGAATGAAGAATTGATACAGGATACAACATGGATAAACCTTGAAAATATTGTATTAAGTATGTAGTTGGCAAACTGCGGCTCGGGAGCCACATGCGGCTCTTTGGCCCCTAGAATGTGGCTCTTCCACAAAATGCCACAGCCTGGGCAAGTCTATTTTAAAGAAGTGGCATTAGAAGAAGTTTAAGTTTAAAGAATTTGGCTCTCAAAAGAAATTTCAATCGTTGTGCTATTGATATTTGGCTCTGTTGACTGATGAGTTTGCCGGCCACTGTATTAAGTGAAAGAAGCCAGCCACAAGAGGCCACTTATTATATAATTTTACTGTTATAAAATGTCTAGAACAGGCAAATCTATAGAGACCAAAATCAGCTTAGCAGTTGCCAGGGTGTTGGGGAGGGAGAAAATTTGGGCTAATTTTCTAATAAGTACAAAGTTTCTTTTTGGGGTGATAGAAATGTTCTGGAATGAGATCGTGATGATGGTTACACAACATAGTGAAAAAATTAAAAACCACTGACAGGTACACTTTAAAATGGTGGATTTTATGTATGTGAATTATATCTCAATAAAAATGTTACAGCAAAACAGAATTTATGTGAGCACCTTTGCCTTCTAGAGTCATCAGATTTCCCAGGGGTGGGGAGGAGGAAGTAGTGTCTTGTATTTGCTGCCCATTTCTGCATGAACATGTTGAAAAGAATGTATCCTTAGTGACTGCCGTTTGAATCACGGTGGGAATGTATTTGACTTCCTGCAACCCTGAATGGGGCTCAGGAGGCATTTTGAGGGCTGTCGGTGGTTCCCTGTGAGTTAAACGGCGTCAAACTGGCATTGATGCGAAGGTAACGATAACAGGTAACATGGAAGGAGTACTTTACACCAGACATTGTCCCAACAACTTTGCATTTATTTCTTCACTAATCTTTACCACAACTGTATGAAATGGGCATTGTTATTACTATTATCGGCATCATCATTCCCAATTTTAAGAAGGAAAACCGAAGCAAAGAGAGGCACAGCCTCTTTTATTAAAAATGTCAACTCGCCGGGATCGATTTGGCTCAGTGGATAGAGCTTTGACCTGCGGTCTGAAAGGTCCCAGGTTCAATTCCAGTCAAGGGCATGTACCTTGCTTGCGGGCACATCCCCAGTGGGGGGGGGTGTAGGAGACAGCTGATCGAAGTTTCTCTCTCATTGATGTTTCTCTATCCCTCTGCCTTGCACTCTGTAATAAATCAATAAAATGAAAAAAATTAAAAAAGTAAAATAAAATGTCAACTCCAGTCTTCTTGCTCCCAAAACCAGTGTCCAGCTGCGCTGATTCCGGTATGTCTTTTTCATTCACAAAAGAACCTCTAGTAACACAAATATTTTCCCCAGTCTAAGGGAATTTTAGAGAGAGGGGAACAAAGATCCAATGACATCTTTGCCATCATGTATACCTTCCCCTTCTAAGAGCTATTTCGGAGTCTGTCAGTCGGGATTTTAGCCAACCATAACGAGAACTGAACGCTACAGGCACACACGATGGTGATTGCTCCTCACGTTGTTTGTGTGACATCCAGTGGTGGAACATGATAAAACTGCTTCCTCCCTAAGTGTTTGTGTCACGGATTTCACAGCTGGTCTGTCCAGCTTCTCTGTGATTCTGCAAGTGTCTTGTACCTGTATTTGTTCTGAGGCTTGAGTCCAATTTTAAGTGCTGTGCTAAAAATGCCTTTCTCTGTCTTTAACACAAAATTAAATTTTTTATTCTGGGAAATTGTATTTGCTGCTTATTCTGGACTCAGGCTTTAACTGTAACCAATACAGAAGCTTTGATGAATTTGAGCCATTTTTTGACATTTCACATTCGATATACATTTGAGGACAAGAGGCGAATAGTTAATAAAACCCAGGTTCCAGATAATCTTGGTGGCAGTTCCTGTCTGCAGCCTCTTGGTGTAATTGTTGTTCTTCTTTAAAAAAAAAATCTTTATTGTTGAAAATATTACATATGTCCCCCTTCCACTCCTCACATTGACCCCTTATAACCTGTTTTCATGACTCATCTCCCAGGCCTTCACCACCCTATTGTTTGTGTCCATGGGTTATGTATTCATACCCTATATGCATACAAATCCTTTGGTTGATCTCTCCCCCCACCTCCCCAGGCTCCCCATCCACTCCCACCTTCCATCTGAGATTCAACAGTCTGTTCCATGCTTTTATATCTCTGGATCTATTTTGTTCAACAGTTTATTTTGTTAATTAGATACCATATGTGAGTGAAATCATGAGATACTCATCTTTCTCTGATTGGCTTATTTAGCTTAGCATAATACTCTCCAGGCTTCTTCTTAAAAATAAAAAAACCAAAAAGGTTTTCTTGACTTTAGAGAGAGAGGAAGGAAGAGGGAAAGAAACACTGATGTGAGAAACATGGATGGGCTGTCTCCTCTCCGCCCCCTTCTGGTGCATGGGAAGATGCTCAACCAACTGAGCCACACTGTGAGGGCTGCAGCTTCTTTTTGCTATTGTGCAAAGTGATCAGTCTTACATGTTCCTTTGTCCCAGCACATACAGACACATTAATTACATTCCCACTGCAATTCTGTCCACTGTTTATGGGTGACGTTGTTCTGAGTTGTTGGATCTACACTACTAGCTTCCTTGCTACTTGAGTCAATGAAACACATTTAAGCCACTAATGACTTTTTGTAACTTGGTGACACCTAAGGCACATTTTAAAATATAAACAAAAATATGCACATGATAGGAAAATAAAATTAGCCAAGGTAAATGCTCCTTGTAATTAAAACAGTTCTGAAAACGTTAAGATTGTGATAATTATTAGGAATGCAATCATTATTAACATAAGGAGATGTTTGTGACAGCCATAATCTACGCCATATTTCAAATTTGTGCAAGGTAGGGAACAAATCTATCATTTTTCCCCCTGAAACTACCAGTCTACCTGTGGACCTATTGATAAAACTGCTCCAAGAGAGTTTAAATGCCTAGAATGTGGGCTATGGAGAAGATGTTTTAAGAACAGGTAGGTGAACAGAGGCCTCTGAAATGTTGAGGGGGAGACTCGGAGTGGACCCTGGAGCACTTCCCCACAGAATCCTATTTCCTCCTCTGGTCTGGGAGGCTATGCGATAGGTAAAGCCAACCACCAGGGGGCACTGTAGAACTGAGGATGCCCGCTTTGGACCAGTGGGCCTAGTTAGAATTCTTACCTTCCTCCAGGCATGCTTGAACACTACCCAACCCTCGGTTCTTCCATCATTTTAATTTTGTTTTTCTCTGCTATATTCAGGATTCTTAAATTGGTTCTGATCAATCTTCCCTTCCTCCAGTTGATGGACAGATGTAAAACCCCACCTGCGGCCAGACATTCCTGAGTTCTGAACCACCAATCAGCACCTGCCAAATACCCTAAGCCCCGATTCCTAAGTCCCTAAGTCCCTAATCACGGATCAGCGTGTGTTGAGTGCCCTAAGCCCCGTCCCCTATCCTTAAAGGTGCTTGTACCCCGGCCCTCTCTCTCTTTCGCCCCTCTCTCTGGAAGCAGCCGGCAGGGGTACCCTTCCCTCCAATAAAGCCTGTATGTGTCCTACCATTCCGATCTCTGGTCGCCTTCTTTGTTTAATCTATCAGGTACTAAGGACAGGCTTCTGATGGTCAGTGAACACTAGCTGCATTTTCTATCTAGAAAAAAGTTTTATGTTTTAAATCAAAGTTTTTAAGTGATTTGTGACCCCTCTGTCCCCCAAAGCAATAAATAGTATCCCCTGAAGTGCAGAATGTAACATATCTACACCTTGAAGGTGTAGAACAACGTGCTGTTAGGTACTAAGTTGCTGACAGCTATCTATCAGTGGCAAGCACTTTGTATGTTATTTCACATAATAATTCCCCAAACTACCTTGCAAGATATTCCATTCCCTTGGAGCCTGAAGTTCAAGTGCTTTGTCCCAGGTCACATGGCTGCTAAGAGTCTGGGATTTAGTTCCAGGAAAGGCTGACTCTCACTGCTCTGTTACTACCCGGAGAAAAAGTGAGAGACTCATTCACTTCTTAGCAAAGATGAATGAGAGGCTGAGTGGGTCCAGCCACAAGAGGAGAACAACTTTGTTTCCTGCCTTCTTGGAGCTTAGCATCTGGAGGTGGTGGCTGTGGTGGTCATGTTAATGGGACACAGACAGTAAACAAATAAGTATGCAATTGCAAATTGCGAAAAGTGCCCTGCAGGAAATAAACAGAGAATAACAACATAGAAAGATGGGGAAATCTACAGAGGGGTTGGCAAGAGAAGCCTATCTGAGGGAATAGGGTGCTAGGTCAGGGTAAAGAATGAAGGAAGCTGCAGTGGGAAGCTGTGAAGATAGCACCTGGGTACACGTCTCAGAGGCAGCCAGAGTGGCTGAGCAGGGCACCATGAGCAAGGGTGAGAGTGACAGGGAAACAGAAGTCAGCAGGGTTTCTAGACCAGGTAAGGAATTCAGATTTTATTTTCAGAGGAATGGGAAGCCATCATAAGGCTTAAAGCAGAGGAGAAGCTTGAGTTAATTTATGTTTTTCCATTTTATTTTTAATTGCAAAAATCACAAAACATCAAGTTTACTACCTTCATTTTTTTAAAGTTTATATTTCCATAGCGTTCAGTACATTCACATTGTTGTGCAATCCATTTCCAGAATCCTTCCATTTTGCAAAACTAAAATGCTCTACTCACTAAACACCAATTTTCCACTCTCTCCCATCCAGGCCCTGGCAACCACCATTCTACGTTCTGTCTCTATGAATTTGACTACTCTAGATACTTACGCAAGTGGAATTATACAAGCTGTGTGTGTGTGTGTGTGTGTGTGTGTGTGTGTGTGTGACTGACTCATTTCATTTAGCATAATATCTCCAACGTTCCTCTGTGTTCTAGCATGTGTCAGAATTTCCTTCCTTTTTAAGGCAGAATAATATTCCGTTGCGTACTAGTGTATATATCACATTGTGTTTATCCAGTCATCTGTTGATAGGTACTTGGGTTGCTTCTACCTTTTGGCTATTGTGACTAATGATGCTCTGAACATGGGTATCCAAATATCTCTTCAAGACTCTGCTTTCAATTGTCTTTTTAAAATTTTATTCTCTTCTGATGGTATTTTCCCACTGATGTTTGTGAAGAGTAGAAGGCATGAAGTGAGACAGTGAGAGAGAAACATCATGTTACAGCAGCCTTAGGAGAGGTCTTTCCTTCCTGGAGAGGTTTTGGAGCAGAATTGGCCCCTCCTCCAACCCTTCAGTTCCCTATCTTCCAATTTTTTTGAGGTCTGATAGGGGTGGCCCGGTCTTTTTTGGTGGTAAGTTTCATTCTCTCAACACCTATGTATTGAGCTCCAAGATATGCAGAGACTCAGTCTTCTAGGCGCTGGAGAGACATCAATGAACAAAACAGAGAAAAAGAAACCCCTGCCCTGCCCTGCTCTGGCCTTGTAGCTCAGTTGATCAGAGCATCATCCAGATACATCAAGGTTGTGGGTTTGATCCCCAGTCAGGACACATACAAGAATCAACCAATGAATGCATAAATAAGTAATTGATGTTTTTTCCCCTCTCTCTTGCTCCCTGCCTTTCTCTCTAATAAAAATAAAAATAAAAATCTCTGTCCCATGGAGCTGGTTGCCTAGCAGGGGAATTTGTTTAGGTTTGTTCTAAATACAATAGCTACCAGCAGATTAAATTACTCATGGCTACTGGAATCTGGATGAGAATTGAGTTAAGAGACTGAGTCACTTTTGTTGCTTGAGGCAGGGAGACATGGGGGTGACAGTGGAGGGAAACGGAAAGAGTGTGAGGCCTGAGTTGTGTGACCTTGAACAAATCATTTACTTTTCCATTTAGTTGATCTGTAAAGTGTGTGTGTGTGTGGTTGTGTGGGGGGGGGGATCCAGCATGCCCCAAATTATTGTGGAATGAAATGTGTTACCTAAATAATTAAGTGCTCTACAAATATCCTCAAGTCATACTTAAGCTTTTATTTCCTTTTCTAAATATAGATACAGAATAGCACTTACCCAAGGTGGCTGTGACTATGTAATAAGACAGAATGTATAAGAGGCTTATCATGGCACACGTGACTGGCACATGGCACTGGGTAAACATTGGACACCACCATCAGTCCCCTGTTGTCTCCAGTGAATTCTTGCTGTGTCAGGACCAGGCCCACCGGGCAGGGAAAATGGGTAGTTATGCCAGACTGAGAGCTGGGAGTCAGGGTGCTAGGTGCCAGGCATGGGATCCACCTGGGCCTGGCATGGCGAGCAGGTGGGTGCTCACTCTTAGTGGCTTAGTTCCTTGTGGGTGAGGGGGGTGGAAGAAGACTGCGTCCCTGGAGGCACAAGTTTTGTGAGATTTCTAGGCATAAGTGTAACCTCTGCCTGCCCCACTGTGCTCCAAAGTCCCTCATCCATTCTTTCATTTAGTACACTCAAAAATGTTTTATTAATTTTAGAAGAGAGAGGGAGGGAGATAGAGACATGGATGAGAGCGCTGCCTCCTGCACCCCCTTGTTGGGGATGAGCGGGAAACCTGGACATGTGCTCTGAGCCAGAAATCCCATCGCCGGCCTTTGGTGCATGGGAGGACACTCAACAACGGAGCCACAGCCACCAGGGCTCATTTAGCACGCTTTTGTTGAGGGTCTAGTGCAGAGGTCTGCAAACTCATTAGTCAACAGAGCCAAATATCAGCAGCACAACAATTGAAATTTCTTTTGAGAGCCAAATTTTTTAAACTTAAACTTCTTCTAACACCACTTCTTCAAAATAGACTCACCCAGGCCGAAAACCAACTTCTGAGCATGGGCCACGAAGTTTCAATATTTTGTGGTGAAAGAGCCACACTCAAGGGGCCAAAGAGCCCCAAGTGGCTCGCGAGCCAAAGTTTGCCAACCATTGGTCTAGTGTATGGAAATACTTGCTTAACGTTGTGAATGGGAGGGAGAACCCACATCCCAGCGGGGGACAGAGGTAGCAGGTTAGGCCGCTGATAGGCTCCAGTGGATCTAAGGGGGTATTTCTAGTCTTTCCTCTTGAAGAAAGGGGGATAGGCCGTGCCAAGTGCGGCTCCAAACTGGCCTTGGGTTGGGGTTCCCAGGAGAAGGCCAGGAAAGTCATCTTTTAAAAAATGCTCACATCTATGCTGAAACCAGTTTGGTTCAGTGGATAGAGCGTTGGCCTGGGGACTGGAAGGTCCCAGGTTTGATTCTGGTCAAGGGCATGTATATTGGTTGCGAGCACATCCCCAGTGGGGTGTGTGCAAGAGGCAGCTGATTGATGATTCTCTCTCATCTATGTTTCTAACTCTATCCTTCTCTCTTCTTTTTTAAAAAATGCTCATATCTACAAGAAAAGGGAAAAGTACTACAGGGAACTCCTTATAGTCTTCTCCTGGGTCCCCTCACTGTCAGCGTCTTGCCCGGCTCAGAGGCGGTGGAGAGCAAAGCGAGGCTCTCGCAGAGGCGCTGGAAGCCCAGAGGGTGCGGACTCCGCAGGGGCAGCGGAGCCGCCCCGGGGCGCTGGCTGCGCTTCCCGGGCGGGGCGGGGCGGGGCGGGCGGGACAGTGGTCACTTTGTGGGGCCGAGCTGCTTGGTGACTCACGGAGGTGGTGGGCGGGTGAGTCAGCCCTGGTCCGTTTCCTGCGCCAACATCGCTGACCCTGGAGAGCGTCCGCGGCCCGACCCCTCGGGGCCCCACATTCGCCTCCTGTCCCGGGGCCGCGGGCTTTCCGGAACCCGGGCTCGGCCTCCCGGAACAGCCGGAGGCTCCCGCGGCGTGCGCGCGTGGCCGGGCGGCTCGCATCTTCTTTTCTGGGGCCAGAGCCAGGCCTCTCCCCGGGATTCCAGGGCGGCTGCTCTTCCGGGGTTCCCTTTCCTGGAGGAGACAAAGGTCCCTCTGGGCGAGATAGAGGGTGTGTGTGTGTGTGTGTGTGTGTGTGTGTGTGTGTGTGCGCGCCGCCTGGAACCCAGGCGCGGTTCTGCAGGGCGGCTCAGGGCAGGGCCAGGGTGGCGCTCCCTGCAGGCCCGGGCGGGGGTCCCCCACCCTCCCTTGGGGAATTGCATCTCTCCAGAACTGGCTCAGGATCCCCGCTGGGCCTGGGCTGGGATCTGCGGACTTTCCTCGGTGCCAGGGCTGGGCTGTGGAAGCATGCCCCCTGCCAAAGCCACTGGGCGAGAGCCTGCTCTGTGTTTTGGGTGTGGCGGGGTGTGTTCTCCTCTTCCCAAAGTAAATCTCAAGGGACAGGAACCCCTGCTTCCTAAATGCCAGGTTGAAGAAGGTGCCCCGATAGTACTTGGCTCAAACCGTGCGATGTTCAAGTTCCGAGAGACCTTGCAGAGCTCTTGCTTGGTGGGTCCCGCCCAGGAAGGGAAGTGACCTGTCCGAAGGCTGCAGGGAGGAGCCCAGAGCTCCTGGGAGCCGGCCTCCCACTCACAAGGTGCGTGGAAAATGCCTAAAATAGTGCCTGGCACGGAGTCAGGTGCGTGTGTGTGTGTGTGTGTGTGTTTGTGTGATATTAACTAATCTTTATAGGGCACTTGGGGCGTGCCAAGTATTGTTCCAAGAGCTCTTCATGTATTAATTACCTCATTCGATCCCCACAACTACACTAAGACAAATACCATTATCATCCCCATATGGCAGCTGAAGAAACAGCTGCTCAGAGAAGTTAGGTAACACGCACAGGATCACATCACTAGGAAGTACAGGAAGCAAAGTCAGATTTCCCCCACCCCCTCCCCGGCTTTACAGACTGCTGCCTGAGGCTGATTTCGAGTATTGGTGAAGTCTAGCATCGAAGAACAACATGAAACCAAGTGAACGTGAAGATCCATTTGGCTCTATTGAGTGACTCATGAATTTAGAAGCAATTGAAAGGCGCTCTGAGGAGTTGTATCAAATGGATGGTTTTCATGGGCAGGAAGAAGGTGGGACACGAAAGTTAAGAGTGGATTATTGCAGGCCAAGTCATCATCCCTCAGGAGAAGGCGGGGGGAGGGGGGGTCTTATCAGTCAGGCTACCTGACTAACACTGACCAGGAAATTCCAGACTGACTGGTTTAAAATTCCACTCCTGGGAGAGGCCAGAGCCGCAGTTAGGTCAGGTGGTAAGTTGTGCTGGGGCTTAGCAAAAGTGACTCCATTTTGGGTCTGTTGTTTCTTTTAGCACCAGTAATATGCTGTAAGTGGTTTGCATCTTCAGGCAGTCTGAAGAGCAGGGTTATTCCTAGCTTGGGGGGAGGAGGCCTGGCTGGCTCTGCTCCTGCAGTGGCCCAAGCTCTGTAGTTTTTCCTCTGGGGCCACAGTGCCAGAAGAGAATCACTGAGAGTGACTCTTGTTACGACTGTTAGTTATCTCTATGACAGTGTTTTTCAACCTTTTTTGGGCAAAGGCACACTTGTTTCATGAAAAAAATCACGAGGCACACCACCATTAGAAAATGTTAAAAAATTTAACTCTGTGCCTATATTGACTATATATAAAGTAATTCTCTTGAATAGGAATCAAATAAACACAAAGAAAGTATTTTATAATTACTTTATTATGAAATATTAAGTAAACAAAATAGTGAAAAATTATAAAATTCTTGTCTTGTCTGCACCTACGGCACACCAGGCAACATCTAGTGTGCCGCGGAACAGCGGTTGAAAAACGCTGCTCTATGACACCAGGACCTAGCGCTCCCCTATTCCGTTTTGCTGGTTTGGGAAACTACCCTTGCTGCTTTAGAGAAAGTTACCGTTAGCAAAGTTTCCCAAATACCTTTCAACAGAGTGAAGTGGACTTGGGTTCATTAGAATCACTCAGGGAGCACGTTAAACACAAAGATTCCCAGCCCATTGGAGAGTAATGATTCTCAACCTTGACTGAACATTGAAATTATGGGAGGTACATGCCGAAACCGGTTTGGCTCAGTGGATAGAGGTCGGCCTGTGGACTGAAAAGTCCTGGGTTCAATTCTGGTCAAGGGCATGTACCCTGGTTATGGGCACATCCCCAGTAGGGGGTGTGCAAGAGGCAGCTGATCAATGTTTCTCTCTCATCGATGTTTCTAACCCTTTATCCCTCGCTCTTCCTCTTTGGGGGAAAAAAAAATCAATAAAATATATTTTAAAAAAAATTATGGGAGGTACAAAAAATAATGTTCCTTTCATCTCCTAAGTTGGGCTAATAATTAACATGCAGTAGATCAACAGGAGAAAATATCCAAAACTTATAATGTCTATTCATCTGGGGTGTCATAAGATATGAGATTCAAGCACACTTTGGGCAACTGAGGTTTATATGCTATTTTGGCAGGGGTCTGGGATTTCAAAGGGAAAGCAGGCAATTCACAGGCTGGTGAGAAAGAGCAAACATGTGGCAAACAAATTCTTGTGGGCCACCCAGAAATAATGGGACACAGAGAGGAATCTAGCACACAGATGTTTGCTTGCATCCTCCTTGTCCAGCCACCCATCATTCAGATGTGCTAAGGGAGTATGCTGATTCCCTTTCTGAAGCAGGTTCTTCTATCTGAGTTCCTTTAAAAAATATTTTTATTGACTTTAGAGAGAGAGGAAGGGAGAGGAAGAGAAACGTCGATGTGAGAGGGAAACTCCTATTGGCTGCCTACTGCACCCTCCCTACCACCGGAATCAAGCCCCTAGCCTGGGCATGTGCCCTGCCCAGGAATCAAACTGGCAACCTTTTTTTGGTGGATGGGATGACACTCAACAAACTGAGCCACACTGGCCAGGGCTGAATTATCTTTTTTAAGGGGGAGGGGCAAAGGTTTTTCCTGAGTCTTTTGTTTCTTAACGACCAGCTTAATATCAATATCCCAAAAGGCACATTTTCGGGTGGCAAAACTTTGGTCCCCTTCAATACACAGTGGACTTGAAGAAAATGTTGATGCTTATGTCCTACCCCCCCCCCCCCCCCCCCCGAGAATTCTGATTGAATAGGCCTGGGGCTCAGCCTGGGCATCTGGATGATTCCAGTGTACAACTGAGGTTGAGCCACCACTGTTCCGAGGGGTGAGTTGGTGGCTTTTAAGGAGCAGCTCATTCATTGTGCAGCTGAGTGAGTTTTTTTATAAATATTTTTTATTGATTTCAGAGAGGGAGAGATAGAAACATCAGTGATGAGAGAGAATCATTGATCAGCTGCCTCCTGCAGGCCCTGCTCTGGGGATTGAGCCTCAAACCCAGGCATTTGCCCTGACCAGGAATTGAACCATGACTTCCTGGTTCACAGGTCACCGCTCAACCAGAAGTTTTTAAACTTCTGGTGTAGAATTTACTTTCTTCTAATTGGTTTTGAAGGGTGTCCTGGATTCTTCCAACAGCAGCACCCGTGTCACATGTGGGAGCTGCTTCTGAAGGAGTCATGTCCCTTCTCAGCCTCTCCTGGCCTCTACCGCAGTTTGAGGGATTTGTCTTCTTACCACTCATCAGTATTCTCACCCAGCCAGTGGGGTTCATTTCTTGCAGGTTCTGGGCAAGGTGGTCACTCCTTTGAGTTCATCACCTGGACCTGAGACCCTTGAACTCTTGAGGTCCAGACCAGCCAAGTTGGCAGCCCAAGGACCTTCGTGAGACCTCATGTCTGTCTTCTTTCCACAGGTCTCCCCTAGACGAGGTTATTATGACCTGTGAGCTGGGTGGAGTAATTGCTTCCTCCCCTCACCTTTCAGTCTTGCATTCCACCCTGGTGTGAAGCTGTGTTTGTCATTGTAAAAGCCCGTTAGGCAGACATGAGCAAAGCAAGGACAATGGGCCAGATACAGGTCACTAGGGCGGAAAGCCCCGATTGCTTAGGAAACTGGGAAAACAAAGACCTGGCCCCCAGGGTAACTTTGCTCCTCTAGCACTGGTCATGTGGTTTGAACTCGTGACTTCATATCAGTAGTCATATGGCTTAGGTCCTCTGACTTTTCGTCATTAAAGATAACATCTAGGCCTCAGTTTTATTTCAGCTCCAGGCCCAGAAAAGCAGCAAAACTACACAAGTGACACCATGGCTGCCACAGGATTAGCTGTATTGACTAATGACTCAGTCCTGGCCCCAATCAGTAGAGACGGAAACGCTAAAAGAGCACACCTGGAAAGCTGATAAATAGTCTATTGAGACCCTCCCTTGAGAACACCCTTAAGATTCTGATCTGCAAGAGAGAGATAAAATACCTTCAGAATGAAGGACCCAGCACGTTCTCCCTAATGGTGAGCAAGTCCACACCTTTCCCTTCCCCCTCTTCTTCCCCCTCTTCTCCTGCAGGGGTGAAGGAACCCCACAGAAACTTGCAACCAGGGGAGCAATGGGCTATGGCAGCTCATCACGGTCTAACTCCCCGAACCTGTCTCCAAGGCCCCTTTTTCTCTGACTTTCCAGTCAGAGTCAAAATAGCCCAAGCTAGGCTCTCTTTTTACTTCTATGCTGAGACCTTCCTTGCTTCACTGCTCAGCTTTAATAAACACCCCATCTGAGTGTGCTTTTGCTGTGGCCAATAAATTGTTGATTGCTTTGCTGCACTTCGACTCGTAAGTGAAATCTTTCCTTCAAGAAGGCCAAAACTGAGGTCTTGTCAGTAACATCATCTCCCACCTTGATAGCCTTTCCTGTTTGTCTTAGAATATGAGGCATTATCCTGGGTTATAGGTGCACACACTAGGTATTAGACTAGGAGCCTAGGGACCTGGGTTCTGGACTAACTGTGTTCCCTGGGTCATCTCACGTAACCTCTCTCACTTTCAATTTCCTCATCTATTAAATGGGCTGATGTATCCTGCCACCTCACAAGATTGCTGTGTGGTTCAAGCAGGATAGTCTGCAAACATGTGCATTGGTTGGTGGCTGTAAATTGTGACACCAATGTCCTATATTCATCAAGTTGAAATCTCTTTCCTAGTTGGAAGAGTGAGGGGTAATTTGCCCTTTCTGAGGGAACACCCAAGCTGGTATTGAAGTCCTTGACAAATGATATATAATAGGATTCTGTCTGCCTCCCTCATTGAATCAGAATGAACTCATTGCTTGTTTTTAATACAGTGTGTTACACCACATTAAATTTCACCAATATAGGTGGATTTTCAAATGTCCACTGCTAAAACTCCTAGGAGCCACATTTATCTTATTTGTTAGGAGACTTTGCTTTCTTATTAAACTGTCTTTGAGTTCAGATACACTAAGGAAACGGGAAGAGATTTTGCTGCTCAGAGCATGGGACAGAAGTCTGGATGGGGTTATGTGGTTCAGTGGTATTCTCCAGTGGGGGTGGCATGCCTTGGAGGCCTAAGGGCCAGGGCGAGAGGCCCTGAAAGACACACAGGTCAGGCCCCCAAAAGGAAACAAGAGATGTCATGGCAAACTACCTTCTCATGCCACTCTAAACACACTTTCCTTTTTTTCTTCTTCTTTTTTTTTTTTTTTTTTTTAATATGTTTTTATTGATTTTGAGAGGAAGGGAGAGGGAGAGAGATAGAAACATCATGATGAGAATCACTGATCAGCTGCCTCCTGCCTACTGGGGATCGAGCCCACAACCCAGGCAGATGCTCTGATTGAACTATGACCTCCTGGTTCATACGTCCATACTCAATCATTGAGCCACACCAGTCAGCCACACTTCGCTTTTTATTGTTCCTCATTGGTGCCAGGCAGAGTGCAGCCATGGGGTCTTTGCTCTGACTATTTCCTTGTGTGTGTCCTCTCCATAGCTGTAGAACTGTCTCACCACTCCTTCAGGTCTGCTCAAATGTCACTTTCCTAATAAGGCCTTCTCTGACCAACCTCCATAAAATTTCCATAACACCTCCCTTAGCACCCCTGATTTTTCAAACCTGCTCTTTTTATTTTTCTAAGGCACTCATAACTTTACAACATTATATGTATATACATATATATGTGTGTGTTTGTGTATATATGTTTTGCTTGAGGGGTATGTATTGTCTGTTTCTCTCCTTGAGGGGGGTTTTTGTTTTGTTCACTAATATATTCCAAGCACCTAGAACAATGCCTGGAACATAGTAAGCACTCAAAACACATTTGTTGAATGGTAAATACATTTATTTAACAGGTATTTAAGACTACTCTTCAACAGGCCCCATGCTACCCATGTCTGCACAAAGAAGCAGACACAGTCCTTGCACTTATAGAGCTTTCAGTCAAACCTCTTACCTGATGAAACAGACATGTTGAGAGAGGAATGACTAGATGAAGTAATCACCTTCTTAGGGAATGTGGGATCTTTACAGAGACACATTTTAATCCAAAGAAATGGCCCTCTAGCTCCAGGAGTTCAGCCTTGCTATTTCTGGGCAGGACAGTCTTCTGGGTGCATCTCAAATTACACTGAAAGGATACCCCACCCACACAGCCAGCCTGCCAGAGCCCTGACCACCGAGAAAGGAGTCCTGAGACAACCACCTTCCTTCCTCCTGGTTAAGACAGTTTCTGTATCAGTCAAGTCTCAGCCCCAACCAGAGGGAACTTAGTCATCAGGGGTGACTGAGGGAAGTTTATTGGAAGAGCTAACCCTACAGGGACAGGCAGGGTCGAGGGAAGCCAACCAGTGATAGTGAAGCACCCTGGGGCTGATGCATGAGGAAGCAAGGGGAAGGGTGCAGGAGCCAGCCAGGCCTAAAGCTGTGCCCTCAGGAGAAGAAGGAAGTCACTGCCCATCAGAGCGCAGCGGGCAAGTGAGCCAAGGAGGAGAGTGCCAGCTCCACTCTCCTCTCATGCTCCAGGACCTGTGGGGCCTCTCAATGGCTGAGTGGAAGCCAGAGGGCAATGGAACCCAGAAGAAACAAGCCTCAGAGATCAGCCAGCTAGGTCGCAAAGCAGATGGAGAAGGGACTGAGGTATTGGAGTAGGGAGGTAAGGCACAGCCAACATTTCTTCAGTTCTGAAAGGGGAACCAGTGGTTGCCGTCACCAAGGCAACTGCTGTGAGCTGCTTTCCAGGCCCAAGTCCAGGGAATGGTGGGAAGTCACTTTTTCCATCACCCACCCTTTCCATTCCATCCCTCTTTCCTTCCTCCTTGGCCCCAAACAGAGTGATTTCTCTCGTTGCTTCCCATTCCCAAGAACTGTTTATTAGGAGAACAATGGATGGCGGCTCTAGGTGAAGGCTAGAGGGCACTTGAGCAGGGCGGACCATGCTCTGTTGGGGAGGGAGGGAATGAGGAGGAAGTAACAGCATGAGGTGGCATAGGGGATGCCAGAGAACCCAGAGTGATGGAGAGAGGATTTTAGGGGAGACATGATGAGGAGTGACCTGGCAACCTAACACATTTAGAAATGTTGTCAATAAGCACCTTTTATTTTGTTGACAACAAAGGGACATATCAAAGTGGGGCTGCCTGGCCTAGACCCCATGCCAGTGGGATGGGAAGAGAGAGTTTTTATTCATCCTTCCTTGTCAATGATTCAAAAATGGTTACTAGTGAGTGGGAGATTCCAAGCGGGTAGGGCACCAGACCTCCCTTTAGAGGAGACTACTGGAATAAGGATGGACTTTTTGCTTAGAAAGGCAAAGGAGGCCTAGCTGGTTTGGTTCAGTAGATAGAGCATCGGTCTGCGGACTAAAGGGTTCCAGGTTCAATTCTGGTGAAGGGCACATACCTCTGTTGCAGGTTCTGGTCAGGGAGCATGCAGGAGGCAACGAATTGATGCATCTCTCTTACATCAGATGTTTCTCTCTCTCTGACTCTTCCCCTCCCTTCCACTCTCTCTGAAAATCAATGGAAAAATGTCCTTGGGTGAGGATTAACAACAACAACAACAACAACAACAACAACAACAACAACAACTTTTTTTAGTGACTGATTTATGACACTGTTTTTTTAAATGCTGGTGCCTAAGAGGCCTCCATGCCCAGCCAGTCTGGCTGAGCTGGGTTACTATAGAAACTGCGGTGAAGGGTGGCCTGCCAATCCAGTTTTCTCTCCCTCAGCTCAGCTCTATATCATCTCTCAGGGCACCTTCCTTTGCCCAGATCCTTCTCTCCCTCCACCCAATTCCAACCCGTCCTTCTGGGTGTGTCTGGTTCAGGCTCCTCCTCTTCGTAAAGTATTTATTCTCTGACCATTTATGCAAAACTGTCCCTCAGAAATCCTAAAGCAATTCGCTGCTTATAGCACTCTGTGTTCACCTAGCACAACTCACTTCTTTTTTTATGGGGATTGCCTTACTTCCCAAAAAGCAGCTGAGGATGCCCTAATACTTAACACTATGCTGGGTACATACAGTAAGCTCTCAATGAGTGCATTCTAATTCAATGAGGAAGGGAGACAAGATTCTATGATATATATCATTGTCAGGGACTTGAATACCAGCTTGGGTGTTTTCTAAGAAAGGGCAAATTACCCCTCACTCTTCCAACTAGGAAAGAGATTTCAACTTGATGAATATAGGACATTGGTGTCACAATTTACAGCCACCAACCAATGCACATGTTTGTGCATTGGTTGGTGGCTGTAAATTGTGACACCTGCTTGAACCACACAGCAATCTTGTGAGGTGGCAGGATACATCAGC